GACCTATAGACAGGACTTTTCCTTGTTTTTGTTTTCATTGTTTCCTATCATACTGGGAAATTGTCAAAGAGGAAGTCTTTTCCTAACTGTTGTGAATCTTTTTGACAGTAATTGTTTAATCAGTTTCTTAATTGAGAACAACTCATAGAAACATTTTTCAGATAAAAGGAAGGTGGTGACAGTATTAGCATCGTTCCTGCTCTGATGATCACCTCGTCATGTGATGGCTCTTGCTGGCTGCAGGAAGGTTGGGGCAGTTTCTCTCCCTGGCTTTGTTCCTTGGGCTGTATGTTGATTGGTGAGTGTCTGTGGGGAGGGCCATGATACTGGTATGTTCACAGTGAAAAATCGAATGCCTGGGTCCAGTTTTTTCTTTCACTCAGGATTGTTTTGGCCCTTGGGGTCTTTTGTGGTTCCATACAAATTATATAATTTATTTTCTACTTCTGAGAAGAATGCCATTAGAATTTTGATAGAGATTGCATTGAATCTGTGGATCAGTTTGTGTAAAGTGGTCATTTTGACATAATTATCATTCCTATTTATGAACATGAGATGTCTTTCCATGTTATTGTGTGTTCTTTAATTTCTTTCATCAGTGTTTTAAGGTTTTCTGTGTAGAGACCTTTCATTCCTTGCTTAAATTTCTTCCGCAGTATTTCGTTTTTTGGTGGCTGTTGGAAATGAGATTGCTCTCATGATTTCTTTTTCAGCTAGTTTGTAGGTGGTGCATTGAAACGGTATTGATTTTTCTATGTTGATTTTGTACATTGCAACTTCACTGAATTTGTTTATCAATTGTAAGAATTTTTCATGGAGTCTTTAGATTTTTCTAAAACCTAAGAAAATACCATCTGCAGCAGTGCCAATGTAACTTCCTCTTTTCCAGTTTGCATGTACTTTCTTTCTCTCATTTTTTCTTTATCCCACTGATTCCATCATTAAGATTGATAGTTCACTTCACAAAACTGTTTTATTTTTATTTTTTTTGTTTTGTTATGATTTTGTTTTTTTCATTTCTTTTAAATTTATTAATATAAAATGTAGTTAATTTTTGTGTCTTTTTACCAATTTCTCTTTTTCCTCCCTCCCTCTCCACCTCCCCCCATCAACATCATATCTGTTCACTTTTCTTAACAAGTTTAAGAAACTTTTGTGATTGTTATGTCTTCTTTCACCCACCCCCACTTATTTGTTGGCATATTTATTTATTTTTATTAGCTCCCACAAATAAGTGAGGATGTGCGGTATTTCTCTTTATGTGCCTGGCTTATTTCACTTAACATAATTTTCTCTAAGTCTATCCACATTGCTGCGAAAGCTAGTATTTCATTTTTGTTTTATAGCAGAGTAGTATTCCATTGTGCAGATGTACCAGTTTTTCCTTATCCACTCATCTGATGAGGGGCATTTAGGCTGGTTCCAACTGTTTGGATGTCCTTTATTTCTTTCTCTTGCCTGGCTGATCTGAGTAGAACTACCAGTATTCTGTTGAATTCAGGACTGCTGAAAGTGGACATTGTTGTCTTGTTTGTGTTTCTGAAAGAAAACCTTTCAATTTTTCTTCATCCAGTATGATATTAGTTGTGGGTTTGTCATATACGGCCCTTATTGGGTTGGGGTATGTTCCTCCTACACCTAATATATGGAGAGTTTTTATCATGAAGNCCTTATTGGGTTGGGGTATGTTCCTCCTACACCTAATATATGGAGAGTTTTTATCATGAAGCAATGTTGGACTTTATCACATGCTTTCTCAGCATCTACTGAGATGCTCCTGTGGTGTTTGCTCTTTATTCTGCTGATGTAATGTACCACATTTATTGATTTGCATACGTTGAACCATCTTTGCTTCCCTGGGGTAAATCCCACTCGATCATGGTGTGTAATCTTTGTGATGTGCTGTTGAATTTAGCATGCTAGTATTTTGTTGAGGACTTTTGCATCTGTGCTCATCAGGGATATTGGCTTGTAGTTTTTGGTTGTTATGTTCTCGTCTTATTTTGGTATCACGATGATGCTGGCCTCATAGAATGAGTTTGGAAGAATTCCCTTCTCTTCAATGTTTTGGAAGAGTTGGGGAAAACTCATTGTTAGTTCTTCTATAAAAGTTTGGTAGAATTCAGCAGTGAAGCCATGTTGTCCTGGGCTTTTCTTTGTTGGGAGAGTTTTATTACTGATTCAACCTTGTAACTCATTTTTTGTTTGTTTAGGTTTTCTTTTTTGTCTTGTTTCAGTGTTGATAGGTTACATGTGTTCCTAAATTTATCCATTTTGTCTAGATTTTCCAATTTGTTGGTGTGTATTTTTTTGTAATAGTGTCTAATATTCTTTTGTACATATATTACATAAATATATATATTTTGGTAGTAGTTGCAATATCTCCTTCTTCCTTTCTGATTTTATTTGGGTCTTCTCCCTTTTTTTCTTCATTAGTCTAGCTAATGGTTCATCAGTTTTACCCTTTTATGAAACCAACTCTATGTTTCATCAATCTTTGGAATTTTACTTTTGGTCTGTCTTTAGTTCTGTTCCAGTCTTAATTATGTCTTTTCATCTACTGATTTTGGGATTCCTTTCTTACTGATTTTCTATTTCCCTGATGTGCACCATTATGCTGTGTAGTTGAAATCGTTGTACTCTTTTGATGTAAACATTTATTGGTATAATCTCCCCTTTTAGTAGTGCTTTTGCA